TCATGCTTAGATTGTTATTTTGATATTCCTAGTATCATGTCTAGGGTATTTTTAATATTAAGTATGATTGTTATGATGCTTCCTATACTCTTCCTAATATTTATGATTATGATTGATTATTATTATTGATTATGTTGCTTGATTATTTTATTTCTTATTGCTTGATCACCTTTATTGCATGTTTAAAGGGAATTGGTATTTGCAACCACGCTTAATAAGATAATTAATAATCTTGTTAGGTTAATTGTGATTATAATTCAAGTGATCGCCAATAATAGTTTATTTGTGCATTTAATTCAACCAACATAGATTAAACAAGTTTAGGGTTAATCCTATTGATTGTTTGTTAATCAGAAAGCACACATGAATACGATCAGAATAAAGTAGAGGCCTATTATTAGGGCAGGTTCAATCTCTTTTAGGTTGGATTTGTACCATCATCCCCGAACCCTTATTAGGTTCATGACCTTATGGAGTTGACGATCTCTTGGATCGTTAAGGGGTGTAACCTTCATCCTATGCACGGTTTACAAGTTCCTTAAAAACTTGTTGGCGACTCTTTTGCTCTATCTTCTTCCCTTTTGGACGCCACCGTACTTTAGTGTATGATCACAGTGGGGTTCAAGCTAGTGGGATTTTTAAAGGCTTGAAATTATTCCCTACACATAGCATCATCATAAGAATTTTCAAGTCATAGCATCATCATAAGCATTTTCAAATCATGCATCATCATAACCATTTTCAATTCATAGCATCATCATAATCATATCCAATTCATAGACATCAGATTTCATATCATCAGCATATCATCTGGAAAATCAATCAAAACATAGCATATTACCCTCTAAATTCAAATCAAATCATAGCATCCTCATAAATCATATTCAAATCATAACATCCTCATAATCATATTCAAGTCATAGCATCATCACAATCATATACAACTCATGAACATCAGATTTCATATCATAAGAATATCATCTAGAAAATCAATTAAAAAATAGCATATTATCCTCTAAATTCAAATCAAAGCATAGCATCATCATAAGCATTTTGAAATCATAACATCATCATAACCATTTTCAATTTATACCATCATCAAAAACATATCCAACCCATAGACCTCAGATTTCATATCATAAGCATATCATCTGGAAAATCAATCAAAACATAGCATATTATCCTCTAAATTCAAGTCAAAGCATAACATCATCGTAAACATTTTCAAATCATAGCATCACATAACTATTTTCAATTCATAGCGTCATCATAATCATATCCAACCCATACACATCAGATTTCATATCATAAGCATATCATCTGGAAAATCAATCAAAACATAGCATATTATCCTCTAAATTCAAATCTAAGGATAGCATCATCATAAGCATTTTCAAATCATAGCATCATCATAACCATTTCCAATTTATAGCATCATCATAATCATATCCAACCCATAGACATCAGATTTCATATCATAAGCATATCATCTGGAAAATCAATCAAAACATAGCATATTATCCTTAAATTCAAATCAAAGCATAGCATCCTCATAAATCATATTCAAATCATAGCATCCTCATAATCATATTCAAGTCATAGAATCATCATAATAAACATATTTAACTCATCAACATCTGATTTCATATCATAATCATATCATCTGGTAAATCAATCAAAACATAGCATATTATCCTTTAAATTCAAATCAAAGCATAGCATCCTCATAATCATATTCAAATCATAGCATCCTCATAATCATATTCAACTCATATAATCCTCATAATCATATACAACTCCTGAACATCAGATTTCATATCATAAGCATATCATCTGGAAAATCAAACAAAACATAGCATATTATCTAAATTCAAATCAAAGCATAAACATAATCTACAATACATAAACATAATCCAAATTTCAAATTTCCACAGTACATAAACATAAACATAATCCAAAGTACATAAGCATAATCCATAGCATATTATCCCCTAAAATCACAGTAGTAGGAAAACTCTACAAAATCACAGTAGTCTACATATATAGTACTCCAATGAGTTTGATGTAGATTGATCATCACAAAGTAAACAATATAATTTAGCATTGTAGATGTTTGTTCCCCTAATCTATAGTAATCTAACTAGGATGCGACAAAAAGTTTAGGTACATTTTATAGCAACTGTTTCAAACAAACCAAACCGAACCAAACCAAGCACAATTTCTTTGCAAATTCAATATCATAAACATGTTAAACAAAATAAAACAAATTCAATTCAATCCTAACATACATGATCCTATTAATCGTTCTCCTCAATTAAACACACATAATTCCCCTGGCCAGCAAGAGATCACACTTGGTGGCATACACCATCATCAACTAACCTAATAAAAAATGCGTTAAAAACAGAGATTTATAGGGAGGAAGAATACTTAGCTATGTGATTCACATGAATCACTTACGTAGCTGCCAACATTACCGTCATCTAAAGGGAAATTAGTGTTGCTGGAGTTACTCACATATCCCAAGGTGTGATTAGGAACTGAAGATGGAGATGACACAGTACTACTAGAGCTACTCACATAACCACAAGTAGGGGATTTTTTTTGTCATCAACAGGTAATTTTTTTTAACATCAGGGGACTTTATTTCAGTAATAGGGGAAGAGTTAACTTCATCAACATTTTTTTTAGCCATTTTAGATGTCACCTCCTCACCACTTAGGGTTTTACCATCACCGTCACCAACAGACCACCCACAATACTGGAATTCTTCCCTAGTGTAGAGGTAACGTCCAAAGCGACTCCTCTGAACATCTAAGCTGTAAGAATGGTCGCCATTGGAGTCAGTCGGCCAGTGACAGTCACGATCCGAACACTCGTAAGGCACGCTTTCCCCACCATCCTTATCATTGTTGGTACGAAACAATATATAAGGTTCTGGGCCAAACCTTTCATCCCAAACAGGAGGATTTTGTTGTTTTGAAAGATTGGAACTTGAATTTTTAAACATTTTGTCGAAAATAAATTGGAGAAGAAAACTCAATTTTTGCAGAGAAATTGCTAAAGATTGTCGAAAATTACCTCAAAAAAATCGAGGGAATGAGTTGTAAATAACAATTGAGCAAGCAAACCCTAGATCTGATGGTTTTTTATGAGAGAGAAAATGAACAGTGACTCCTGTTTAGGGTAAAAATACCCCGTATACGTGGACCAGTCCCGTAGCGACACGTGGCCTAGTGAGAGGGTGACACGTGTCACTATGGGAAGATGCTACGAATTCAGGTTAAAAGTACTCAAGAGCACAAGCCAATCCTGTAGCGACACGTGGCCTTATTAGAGGGTGACCCGTGTCTCTACAGGAAGATGCCACGAGTTTAGGGCATATAAGACTCATTAAATCAGCAAAAGGGGCCTCATTACATCATGGCCCAAATCCCGAGAGATATCCCTAAAAGCCTCAAAACGGCACCCCTCATGTTACACGTGGCATCGCGTGATTACGCAGCCAATCACGTCACGTAATTTTAGGGTACAAACCCTAAAATTGGCACAAGTTCGCACCCCTATAAATACCCCAATCATTTATGGTAGGAGGGGTGGATTAGGACAGTACAAGAAAAAGATCATTAAAAGCTCCAACTTTTCTCTACTTTCTCTCTTTAGCCTTTTCCGTTTCCGATCACTAAGTTGATCGTCGGAGGCGAATATTCCGACAAAGGAATATTCGTTGTTTTGCAGGTGTCTTAGTCTTGTTGTCAGAAGAACGCAACCAGTATCCGAGGAAATCCAAAAAACACCCGAAACATTTGGCGCCGTCTGTGGGGATACTCGTCCGTTGTGGCAATAGACGGTCAGACACCTAACCAGGCGAGGACGGGCATGTAGAGGATATAATCCCTACAATCCATACCAGCGATCCGCTGATCGCCACATTTCAAGAGGCTGATGACCCTCCTATTACTGCAGCCTCTCTGAAGGCCGCACTCAACAAGCTCCGGAAGGAGTTTGAAAGCAACCGAGCCTCTACCTCTAGGCAACCGCCCAGGAAAGAGGGGGAGAGGGATTCAAAGAAAGCTCAAAGAAAGGCGACCAACGCAATAGATGCTGGGAACACCCCATTTCGCCGAACGAGTGGTAGGTCTCCAAGGGTGCCGCGGACAAATTTCTCTGATCTGCTGGCGAAAACCCAGTTGGCTAGGGGGAGAGGTAGGCGACCACAAAGAGAGGAGCCTGAGCCATCTAAAAGATGTACGGATGCAAGAGATTACCTCCGGCATAAGCAGCGGGAACGTGCCGCATACTCAGACACGACCTCAACCCCCACTATGCAAGATGAATTTTCCAACTACTCTTTTTCTCAGCATAGCAACATCTCCAAATGGAATCAAGCTATGCGTACTCTAACCCCCATTCCAGTACAACCGCCGCAGTATACGCCCCCTCAAGGTCTTAACACCATTGTGCTGCCAAGCCCCCAGGTTTTCAAACAATATGGGCCGTTCGCTCAGACGTTCGGTCAGACTCCTTATATGGCCAGACAGCCTGTACAGCCCCAGCCAATTGATTGGCAGATGCGGTTATTGAATCAGGGAGATAAGCTGCCTCCGTTTTCGCAAGATATTTTAACTGCCTCTTAGCCGCCGAAGGTGAAGAGTGTACTCGTGGGAGCTTATGATGGCACGGGCAACCCAGAGGAACACATCACCTTGTACAAGAACCTGATGTACTTGCAAAACGTAGATGATGCTACCTGGTGCAAATGTTTTCCGGCCACTTTGAAGGGTGTGGCACAGGATTGGTTCAATAGCCTCCCGGTCGGATGTATCAATTGCTTTACTACTCTTAGTTTACTATTTGTGGGAAATTTTTCATACAACATACCGCCTCGAAAGACCAGCCTTAATTTGGAAACAATTGTTCAAGGGAAAAATGAGGGCCTATGGTCGTACGTCCAGCGATTTAACCAAGAAAAAGCCCAAATTCATAATCTGCCGGATGAAATGGCTTACTCTGAATTTCTCCGGGGATTAAGGCATAATGGCTTTGAATTTGACCTGGTAAGGAAAAAGATTCGGACATGCCTAGGTGTTTTGCGGGAAGCCGAAGCTTATATTGATGCAGCGGACTTTTGTTCGCTCACAAAATCAGAATCGCCGGCCAAGGGGGATGAGAAGAAACAATCTTCTCAGCAAGACTCGGCCGGCCAAAAGAAAGAAGGAAAAAAGAGAAAAGAAGTCTGGGTGGCCGACGGCCAGCCGCAAAAATTCAAGAAGGCCAAGACGTACGAGCCCCAGTATGAGTTCAACAAGGACTGTTATTCCATCCTGATGGAAATCAAAGATAAGTTTGAGTTTGAAAAGCCCCAGCCGCTGAGAGGCCCGGCTCAGTACAAGAACAAGAACAAGTACTATCATTACCACAAGGACGTGAGACATGACACGAACGATTGTATCAATTTGAAGAGATTGTTGGACAAGCTAGCCGAGAAGGGCATGCTGAACTCCTATGTGATGAAGTCAAAGTTCACCTACACACGGACAGATAACACGTCTGAAAATAAATAGAGAAATGATAAGAACAGAGACAAGGGAGATGATGGGAATATCACTGATTCAGGCTTTGTGGCCTTGATATCGGGAGGCTTTGCCTCGGGCGGTCCAACTATGAAAGGGATCAAGAGGACGCTTGGAACTTTGGAAAGGTGATGCAAACGGATGCTGTAAAGGCCGAATCCTTTCCCAAAGTAACCATCAGCGAGGCTGACCGGGGAGAGGTCAAAGCCCTGCACAATGATCCTATAGTATTCATTATGAAGATAACCAATCTGAAAGTCGAACAAATATTGATTGATACGGGTAGCTCGGCCGACATTATCAGCCTGGCCGCCTTGAAGAATCTAAGCTTCCCAGAGGATGCTCTTCAAGACATCACTCACCCGTTGGTAGGATTTAAGGGTAATGTTATCCACCCAGTTGAGCGGATAGACCTACTCGTCCGATTAGGGCAAAAATGGGAAGGGAGAGATATGGTTGTCCGCTTCCTGGTTGTAAAAAAGCTGACTGGATATAACTTCATACTCGGCCGTCCTACACTGAATGCATCTAAGGCATTCATTATACCTCATCTAATGTTGCTAAAGTTTGAGAGGACGGACAGGAAAATTGGAACAATCCAAGGAAGTCAGAAAATGGCTAAGGAATGTAATCAGTTGGCCGTTAAGCCTACCACACGCGGACCAAAATCGTCCGAGCCAAAAGAAGAAGGAACCTCACTCCCAGCATACCAGGTTGGCCAGAAGCGTAAGGCGGCCAAGATAGAGCAAGAATAACAACTAATGATTGTCGGCCGGCCAGAAGAGTTAAGGCCCCAGCCGGCTGGCAATCACCAAGATATAGTGCTTGACCCCGATCAACCAGGTCGGACGGTTAGTGTAGGCACTATAGCTTTAGGTATGCTTGCGGATGAGTTAGTTTAACTATTGAGAGAATTCAAAGATGTATTTGCATTCGAAGTTGGTGAGATGCCAAGAATAAGTCCTGACCTGGCCGTGCATAAGCTGGCTGTGAACCCAGCCATTAAACTTGTCCGCCAGAAGAAGAGAAATCATGGAGAAGAGAGGAATCAGGCGGCCGCCGCTGAGGTTAAAAAGCTGCTGGACGCCAGTTCATTCGGCAATGTTATTACCCAGACTGGGTAGCCAATGTAATTCTTGTGAAAAAGCCGAATGAGACTTAGAGAATGTGTGTGGATTACACAGATCTGAACAAGGAATGCCCTAAGGATAGTTTTCCCTTGCCCAAAATCGACCGCCTGGTTGATTCGACGGCCGGGAATGCCCTGATGAGTTTCATGGATGCATACTCCGGATTCCATCAAATTCCCCTATGGGAAGAAGATCAAGAGAAAACAACGTTCGTAACTGAGCAGGGGTTGTACTGTTACAAAGTTATGCCATTCGACCTCAAGAATGCCCCTGCTACCTTCATCGACTTGTTAATACAGTCTTTAGAGATCAGCTCGGCCGGAATATGGAAGCGTACATTGATGACATGATTGTCAAGTCAAAAGAGTCGGCCGACCATCTGAAGGATCTGCGAGAAACTTTTACCGAACTCAGGTGGAATAAGATGATGTTAAATCCAAGGAAATGTGTCTTTGGTGTTGAGTCCGGTAAAATTTCTCGGATTTTTTATTGATCAACGTGGGATTGAGGCTAATCCTGAAAAGATTCAAGCTATCCTGGACATGAAGTCACCAAGGAAGATCAAGGAAGTGCAAAGGCTAACCGGCAGCTTAGCAGCACTTGGTAGATTTTTGTCAAGGTCGGGGGATAAGTGCCGTTATTTCTTTCAAACTATAAGAAGAAATCCATGTTTGAGTGGACAGAGGAGGCCGAGGAAGCATTCGTACAGCTAAAAAGCCATCTGCATACGTTGACTCGGCTCGTCAGTCCACTCAAGAATGAGAAGTTATTCATCTATCTCGCCATCTCTGAACACTCTCTAAGTGCCGTCCTGCTTGATAAAAGGGACGGCCACTAGATCTCAGTCTATTTTATTAGTCATGTACTTCACAACGCCGAGCTAAGGTACCCCCCTATTGAAAAATTTGGGCTGGCGCTCTACATGACATCTAAAAAGCTGCGGCCGTATTTCCTAGCGCACTTGATAGTGGTATACACCGATCAACCACTTAAAAAGTCGTTTGCAACTTCAGAAGCTAGTGGACGCATACTTGAGTGGGCATTAGAGTTAAGGGGTTTGGACATTGCGCTCGAACCCAGAAAAGCCATAAAAGGACAGGCCTTTGCTGATTTTTTGGCTGAGATGACTCGGCCGGATTTACAACCGGCCGGAGATCAGGTTTGGAAGGTGTTTGTTGACGGTAGTGCAACGGCGATCCGAGCGGGATAAGTTTGAATATGCTTTGAGATTTCAGTTCCAAGCCTCTAATAACGAGGCTGAGTATGAAGCTCTCCTAGCTGGCCTTAGAATGTGTAAGGCGGCAAGAGCAAAAAAAGTGGATGTAAGCTCGGACTCCCTGCTTGTAGTCGGCCAGGTGAATGGAAATTTTGAGGCAAGGGAGCCGGCTATGATGAAATACTTGAGGATTGTCAAAGGGGAGGCTAAGGGCCTATATCATTTTACTCTGCAACAAGTCCCTCGTTCGTCTAATCATCAGGTGGACGCCCTCTCTAAATTATCATCCTCAGCATCATGTGATACCCCCAGATTAGTATTTTGGGAGGTAAAAGAAAGAAGGAGTATTGATGTCGAGCCTGTACAAATCATTGATAGAAGCTCCACATGGATGGACGGGATCATTTCTTACTTAAGGGATGGATTACTTCCGGTCGATCCTAAAGAGAGCTGGCTGATTAAGAAGAGAGCGGCCTGGTTCGAAATGAAGCAGAGAGAGTTGCTTAAAAAGGCATTTGTGAAGCCGTACCTAAAATGCATTACCCTTGAGAAGGGTCATGATGTCCTAGACGACCTCCACCAGGGGCAGTGCGGCTCTCATATAGGAGGGCGAGCCTTGGTTGAAAAGGCTGCCCATATGGGGTACTACTGGCCGAGCTTAAAGTCGGACGCCATGAAAATGGTGAAAAAATGTGACAAGTGCCAAAGACTTGAAACCTTGGTCCATCGCCCTGCTAACAGTTTGTCGGCCATAAGTAGTCCGCTTCCCTTTGCCAAATGGGGAACGGATATCTTAGGCCCCTACACGCTAGCGTCCATCCAAAGGCGTTATGTGTTTGTAGCAGTAGACTACTTCACAAAATGGGTAGAGGTCGAGGCTGTCCGGGGCATCAAGTGGACGGATGTTTCAGCCTTCATATGGAGGAGTATCATTACACATTTTGGCGTTCCTAAGTCTATGGTGTTTGACAATGGACCCTAGTTCGAAACGCCTCAACTCAAGGTATGGTTGGAAGACCAGGGCATAGCTCATTGCTTTGCTTAGGTCGGCCGACCACAAGCCAATGGCCAGGTAGAAGCATACAACAAGTTGATCTCCAATGGTATCAAGCGCAAGCTTGAAAAGGCAGGCGGCCTATGGGATGATGAGTTGGTCAATGTATTGTGGTCCATACGAACAACGGCCAAGAGCTCCACAGGGGAAACCCCATTCTTTTTGGTCTACGGCGCTGAGGTTTTTCTCCCAATTGAGATGTATGAGCCCACTCTTAGAGTGATGTTATATGATGAAACGGCCAATTGGGAGGCCATGAAGACTGCCCTAGACTTCCTTTCAGAAGCTAGGGGCAATGCGCCGCTTAAGCATGAAATTTATTGCCTAAGGATGACAAGGGCATTTAATCGCCGAGTGTCAAAGCGTCCGCTAAAAATGGGAGATCTGGTCTTAAGGAAAATGGAGGATGTAGGCCGGGTAAATGAAGATGGAAAGCTGACCCCAAACTAGGAGGGACCGTACAGAGTTAGTGAAGAAGTCTGAGATGGTACTTACCGTCTCGAAGCGATGAACGGCCGTCCGATTCCGCGTATATGGAACACAGACAATCTGAAGAAATATTATGTTTAAGTCTTTCTTTAGTACTTAGCCAAAAAGCTGTATATGCAGCTAGGTCTGTTGACTGAGCAATGTATTTAAAGCCGTACGATCACAACAATGTAATTTTGACAAATTAATGAAAAGTCAAGCATTGTTATATTATTTTTCCATTCTACTTATGCTTATTTGCACTTTTATAGTCTGAGCTGAAACGCCGCGTGAAACCTGTAACTAGGTTGCTTGCAACACAGCAATCAGGTCGCGAAAAAAAAAAAACTTGACTTTAAGTCACGGATATGCGTCCGCCCCTCATTAGAGCGGACGGTGGAAGTTATGTATCCCAAGTTAGCCAAACACGATTAACCCTTGTAATGGGGCAAGGGCATACCTAGACATTCTAGCCCAGCCAAACTTAGAAATTTTAAGTTGAGATAATACTTGAAATTTTTTGAGTACGTCCAAGCGATAGTTTCAACGGACAGCTCATATAAAACCAATCAAACGACCGAATAATATGTTGATTCGGCGTATCGCCTAGTCCAAGGGCATTAATTACTATGATTTGATTAACTTGCTAGTAGTCATACCCTTTAAGGTATAAACCCTACCAACTCAATCAAAACATTCAAAATTTGGACTAGGCGAACGCCGAATAAAGGGGCATACCCCCCCCATTGTACGAAAATGCAAAAAGTATGTAAAATTTGCTAAGTATGAAATAAATGAAAAGAAGAGCTTGAATTAATTAAAGACCGCTCAAAGGGTGCCAAAATATCTTACAAAAACCGCTCAAAAAAGGTGGAAATTAAAGAAAATAAAAATTGTTCAAAAAAGGCAGAAAAACAAAAAGCTAATATCATGGGGTGGCTGGGGCTCTAAGAAGCTGGGTCCTGGCCTTGGACGGGCTTTTCAGAGGCGGGAAGGGACGCATCATTCGCAGCTGTTTCCTTTCTTTCCTCCTCGCCTTCATTGCCGGCCGCCACCTCTTCATTCTCCTCATCCTCTGAGGTAGTTGGTGTGACGTCCAGCTTAGGAGAAGGCTGCCCGACCTTCTTAGCCTCTTCCTTGAGGCAGACGAAGTTGAGGAGTTTTTTGAAGCGCTCTTGGTAAAAGGGAACTTCGCCCACGTCCATCATGAGCTCGAACGCCTTGAAGAAATGTCTCTTCAGCCTATCCTCAGCATTATGTTCAACACGGACGACCTCGTTTGCGCTAGGGGCCCAGGTGTTTTCAACTGTAGGGTTAAGTCCTCAACGGACTTCTTTAAAGTTTCCACCTCGGCCCTAAGAGCGTCCGCCTTATCCAAGGCCTCCTCTAAGTGTTTTTGGGCTAAGGCCACCTCGCTCTTAAGCTTTTCAGAGGCCTCAAACCCTTCCTTCCAGCGCTGGCCATCCAAGAGGGCCTGATCCCTTTCTTGTCTTATGGCGTCCCTAGCCACGGACTCTTGCTCAAGGGCCTGGCCTAGCTTCACCAAATCTTCATCTAGTCGCGCTGCCTTGTCGGACAGCGCGTTGATCTGGGTTTCAAAGTATCGGCGCTGGACGGTCGTTTCCCCGGTAATGGCATCCTGGGTTTTCTTAATCTAATCCCAAGCATGCTTCAACTTTTCGTTCTCCTTGTCCTTCCATTCAAGGAAGACAGTCAACCTCATGAAGAGCTGCGTACAAGATAAAACACGTTAGCAAAATGAGAGTGAAAAAATAACTAAGTGTGAAAGTTGAAAGAAAAACTACCTCAGCACTGCAATTGATCATTGGGCCGAGGAAGCCCTCACGAATCCCCCGCAGCTTGTCTCGCTTCTCGGCGGGGACGACA